AGAAACGTTTTAAAAAAGTTTTTAAAAACTTTCAGTCGCACAACCATTTCGAATAAAATATTGAAGAGCTTTTGAGGATAATACCAGATGAATAAATTTGAAAATTCCTTTTCTCCACTTGCATAATTTTTTATGAGCCTGAGATGTTGGACGACTGCATTCCAAACAACTGGAGTTGTAAAACACTTTCTCAACCTTTTAGACGCCATTCTATCTGGCAGTATTCGACTGTGGACAAAAAAGGCTTAAAAAACTCTGGACAAAGATTGTTGATTTTGACAAACTTTGTGGAGACTGGCAAATTAGACATCAACAGTTTGTTACTTACTAACTACAAAATTTTAAATTCATTTATAAGACAGCAAGAATTTTTAAAAAGGTAATAAATATTGTTTTCCTTTTCCGCCAATTTATTTATTTAGTGAATTTCATTAAGAATGAGTTCTTATAAATTTGGCAGCTCATCATCATTGTTCACATGTACTTCAATATCAAAAATGTTTTTATGTATTAGAAAATTATCCAAGGCACAATAATTTTATAAAAGCGAACAATGAAAAAAATTCTATATTTATTCTTAGAAATTATTTTATTTATTCATAATTCTTATTTTATTTAATTTATTTTTTTGTTATTCTATCAGAAAATATCAACATTAACATAAATTTTTAAATTAGAGTTTTTAAATAAACATAACAATAATGTAACAAAAAAAAGTAACTTTGATATCTCGGTGGAATTCGTGAGCAATCCATTAAAGTAACAAAAATCAAATATGTATAGGAAATGAGAATAGAAAATTGAGATATTTCCATTTTGAACGAAATTTATCATAATTTTAAATTCAAATAAAAATAATTGGCAAAAAAAATCAATTTCGATTCTTCCATACGTATAACTTTATTTTAGGTTGTCTTAAATTGTCTTAAAAGTCATTAAAATCCTCTATTAGTGTGCAAAACAACCAACGTTAACAACTAAATTTATCGCTTGTCTTGAATGTCTACTCTGATCAGAATGTAATCACCTAGTTGAGAAAAATTAATTTTATATTGCCTGTGTCTGGCAAACTTTATGCTGAAATAACAAAAACTGATTGAAGGTAAGAAAAAACTTCCCCAGAAAAATTGTAAACATGATTAAGGTTATTGTGCAAGAATACGAGTTTAAGATTTTACACGACGGCCAACTAAGCGCGCTTATTCATATAATTTCCGATGTCAAAGTTCCTCTTCATAGTGGTACTAAATGAAGTAATGAAAAGAGTTAAGACGACGCCAATGGCTGTCAAATGGGAGTTGAGCCATCTGGAGGGTCTTGAGTATACGGACTACATTTGCGTCTTAGCTCATACGTATATGGATATGTAGACCAAAATAAACATCATAGGCAGCGAGGTTGTGGAAGTCGGCCTCAAGATCAACACCAACAGAATTTAGTAACTAACCCATATAGAAAGATTTACATATGAAGGTTAAGAACCAACTAATCAAAACTGTAATACTTTTAAGGTCCATTTGTGGAAAAATATACAAATTAAAAAAATTATTATAGATCAAACTTCAAAAATTTTATATCCTACTATTACGGATCATTATGAAAATATATTTTATAATAAACACATAATTTATTATATGCATACATCTACCTACCTACCCATATATTTCATTCTTTATAAAGCAATTATATAAAATGATTTCGATATTTGGGGTATATAAGAAATTAATTATGAAATTTCTAATGTTTTTGAACTATTATATAATTATGTAAATATTATTATTTTTATATAATAATTATGAAGTTATTTAATTTATATCTAGTTATAATTTAGTTGTTAATCCTCTTATCATAATATACTTGATAATTATATTTCATCAGTCAATTAATTTTATAATTAAACTCATACCCTATTCCTTTACTTTGAAAATTATAAGTATACAAAATAATATTTTAATTTGTTTGTATGTTTATAAAATGTAGGTGTGTTGTATGTATGTACATAATAGGCATATAGACTTATTTTCATTTTAAATTGTCAAATATTTTGTATAATAATTTTATTAAATACTTATACACATACTCGTATTGTATTTGCATATCAGTTATTCATAATGTGTTAGTATACGGAGTGTCAAATATACGAAATTGTACTCCCGAAGGCGGGGTGAATGGAATGGGTTAAGACGAATAAAAAATAACAGGTGACTGTTTTTATTTCCACTTCCTCTCTCTCTCTCTCTCATCTAAATTAATTTTTCTGAAAAGCGTCCGATTTTTACATTTTTTCTATAACTCAGAAAACATGACACGTGAAATAAAAATAGTAAGCTCATGTTTAAGCTCAAGAAATTTGGGATCATTAAAGAAAAGTGGTTTGAACAATTTTTGTTTAAAAACTCAATTAACTGAAAAAAGTTATAGTAAGAGTTAAGAATGTTGAGAACAATTTGCGATGATTTTGTAGCTCAGTTGGTAGAAAGCGGTAGGTCACTGATTCTAGTTGAGTTCTAGGAGAAAAGTTTTTAATTTTTTCTGCCATGGCTCATTCTTTTAGTTACATCATTCATTGGTTCTACTATCAAATCTCGTACACCCAGTCTACTAAATCAATTTGTAGTTGTTGGTTAACAATAATTACTTAAAAATAAAAAGCAAAAATTTATTAAATAAATTACAGTTGTTATTGTTGTTATTTATTTTAATAAGTATTTCAAATTTATAAACTCTTAATCAACTTTATAATAATAACATTAAATTTATTATAAAAACAAAATATGTATGTGTATATGCTTATATATATAGACACACATTTTTATTTACAAGCGTATACATTATTTAATTATGTTAAAATAAAAAATTTAATGGTTTTCGAATGTGTTAAGTTATTTTTAATTTTTATTAATTAAAAATAATTATTAAATATTTTTTAATATATTATTATCGCGGCCAGCAATCTAATGTGTTGTAAATCAAAATTTACATTTAGTAGCAGAATGCTTTAAAAAAAAAATATTTTGTATTTCGTGGGCTTGCGCTTAAGAATTCAAATAACAAACTTGTAATCACACTTAAATTAAAAGACGGTGTACAAATCTAATGTGTTCAATTAAATACAATGTAATGAAGCTTTCGGAAAATTTAAAAAAATAAAATTTCTCTAAACAATTTATGACGTTATTTAATATCTTACATTTTGATACATGACTTTGCAAAAAAATCAAAATTCTATATTCTGAATTAATTCCCGAGAAAAGTAGGAAGGAGATTCAGTGTGAAAATACTAAGAGTCTATACAGTTTTATCAAATGAATTGCGTGTAAGTATTTAACAGTAAAATGAGTAGTTGATTATAACCACAATTGTTGAATGGGATCTCCAAAGAAGCAGTAATTTTATCGAAAAATAATGGGCTCCGATGTCCATTTTCAAATTGAAATTACTCCATAGTCAAATTACTATTAATTCAACAACTTCTTTTCAATGAACTAGTCATTAGTCACATACTAAGCGCTATAACTCTATATTATTTAACTGCATTCCGGACTCAACTGTGAGTCTCTGATTATTTTTACAACTCTGAGTTATTTTATTTTTTTATATAGCTGAAAACAAACTCTTAAAAAATTTTATTTTGAAATTTTACATGCATGTATGTGTACCTACATATGTATAAGGGGAATATGTTTAAAGACACCATTCTTCAACTTATGAAATTTTGCATAAATATATCAAGCTTTCCAGCACACGTAAGATAACAATGCTTTTTTTTTCAATAAACTTTTCTACTTTATGTATATATATATATCTATTATTTTTTTACATGAAATAATTTCATATTTTAACAAGTTTTCAAAAAAAAATTTATAAACATATTAACATAAAATACGTCGTTTAAAAATAAGAAAAAAAAATATCAGAAAATTATAACATTGTTTTACAATAAACATTGTTATTAAATAATTTTTAATTTATGCAAATTTATGAACTTGTTACATCAGAAAAAATTATTATTAAAATATTATTAAAGCAAAAGTGCCATAATAAATAACTAACTATGTTGACATCAGAATCAGAAATGCTTGCATAAATTCTTTTCAACTTTATAAAATTATACAAGAGAAAGTTTTAAAACAAAATTGTATAGGCAAACAAAAAACATTAAAAACACATACACACACACTTACTATTAAAATGTTCAATAGTTTATGCATACTTAAATTTGTTATATGCATAAATAAAATGTAAATTAATATTTAAATGGGCAATCCATATTTTTTTCACAATTCAATTGTGTACATAATTTAAAAATGTTCAAAACAGCTTGTGAATTGGTTATAATGAAATTTTGATTTCGTACCCACACGGTTTCCAAAAAAACAAAATCATAAAATCCATTATTTCGAAAGTATAACAGAGATGAATACAAGAAGAATGCTTCCATCAAGCTCATTCCAACTGAATACTTAAAGGTGGTAGTTGTAAAAAGTATTTTTGTAAATGTTCCGCGGGAGTCTCTAAGCTTTTTTCGAAATCGCACCCAAATTCTGAAGTCGATCTTTCAGAACAATTAGGACTACTAAATTATAAAACTATATTGAGAAATCACTAAATTAATCGAATTATATTCGAAAATTTCTTAAATTCTAAAATTTGTCCTATACTTGTGTAACGAATTTGAATGAAGTTTTAATTACTGACTAAAGCTACGAGTAATATTGTAGATTATTTTTGTATTACAAAGTGGATTATATTGTTATACTTGTTTAACTATATTATAAGAAGAAGAAATAAATGCAATCCAAAACAATATTAAATCATAAAATATTCCAAATTTCAATAGAATTCAACACAATATAGATATTTTGTTATTCATTAACAAGAATTCCCATTTAAATTGTTATACATATAACAGAGCTTATATTAATGGACATATGGACTTAAAAGAAATGACATAAAAAACAGAATATTATAATAATAACAATAATAATATATGTACTTACCTTCATATTTGGACACGGCCACATTAATACAGTTTTATTAAAGTCCTTTAAATATCCTTGACTAAGATGACATAAACCAACAGCAGCATTACTAACTGATTTTATATATTCAATAGAATTCAAATGTTTTTGACGGTTAAATTTTTTTTTGTTATTATTTTTGTTTTTACCGTTGCTGTTACTATTATTATTGTTATTATTGTTGTTCTTGTTATTATTATTATTAAATTTTTGGTTATTATTATTGAAATTATTTGTTTTTGTATTGTTTTTACGTGAATTTTTGTTATTATTATTTTGTTCATTTTCTTCTTCACTGATGTCATTAGTTAGCAATGTTTTTATTATGGTTGTATAATTTTTATTTTCCAAGTGTTTTATTAAATTGTTAAGACCTTAAAAAATAAAAAAAAAAAATAAAAAAAAAATGTTTTTTTTTCTTTTAAATGGAAAAGGATAAATACAACAACACAATCATACATGTCTCTATATATTAAGTGTGTATGAGGGTATATAAATTAAATATACAATCAAATGGCAAAGAAAAACTCAAAAGAGAAAAGCAAAGAGCATAACAACGGAATGATTTAACATTTTTGATAAACTTTGGTTTTTTTTTTTGTTCTCTTTTTTTTCATCATTCTTGTAAAATTATTCATGTTTTCTCATTCAAACAGAAATTTTGATTTATTTATTAAATAAATCTTTTTTCATAAACATTAATAATTTTTGTTACATACATACATACAAAAAGAAGAATTTTATTAAAATTTTTATCATACATACTTTAATTATATGCATTATTCATTTGTGACTTTAACAGAATTTAAAACCGCTTCTTGGAATTATAATCTCGAAATTTTTAATCTTCATTTTCTTAAAACACAATATATAGATATTGTTCAACATTCCAGATACCTACTCAGAAGGACCGGACCTATAAAACATACTGGAAATTTCAAATTCGCGTTTCATTAAAAAATTCACCTCTGAATGAAATTCACCTCTATTAATCACACCATATCGCCAAAAAAAGCCGGGGGCCGCTTTTAATTCAAAATTATAGCGAATTGATAAACAATTTTCTTCTGGAAACTTTTAAAAATTTTACTTATAGCTACAAGATTTTATTAATATTATTAGGTATGTACTCGTATATAGGTATATTATAAATGAATGATGTTTTTAATATGCAATATTGCATAAATTTAGGAGGAACTTCACAGAAATAGTTTTCTAAAATCTTATACTAAATAGCACAGAGATTTACAGTTGTACTACTCAGCAATTTAATCAAGGCACAATGGTCAACTTTGAAAGGACATTTTTGCCACAAGGTAGTTGGATTTTATAGCGCCGTAGATATGTTAGGAATCGAAGAATGGCAAATTTAAGAGGTAAATTTAAGAGGTAAAATAATATTGTTGACTTGTTTTCCGTTTACGGAATCAACAAATTTCCTTTAGTTCCACAGCCTTTTAATAACACATGTACTAAGAACTAACCACACTTAAACAAATATTTAATTCCAAACAGAAAACAGCCCCCAATGCTGCGAAAACTCTTAATTAAATTTAATTTAAATTATTGTTTAATAAATGTTGAATAATTTAATAAATCTTTTAAAACCGAATTATTTTTAATGAAAATTTTCTCATTTTCTAAAAAATTTCAAAATATTAAATCAATTAACCTTCCTTCACATTTATAATTATAACATGAACTGATTCAGATCACAGCATCTTATTGCTTATTGAGAGACCAAAACAAAAAAATTTAACATCAAAATGAATTTTAATTAATTTTTGTTTTCTTTATGATATCAAATTGACCATTATTATCGCTATTACACTTGTCATTTTCAAAAAGGTTATAAAACAATGAAATTCTATACCAAAATTTTTAACAAATACAAAATGAACAAGAAGCAAAAATTTGTTTGTGAATTTTTGTACTTAAGCGAATTGATATTAAAAATCTTTGAAAATTTGTGTATCACCTTATACACTCCTTGAAAAAAAAAAGGATATTGCCCAGTAGTATCAAATGTATACCATGTATAGATAAAAAAAAATCTAATTCACCTTATAACCTTAACACTCATTATAATAATGAGATATTTAACACAAAATGTATACTTTTTCCAGCTTAACTTTTAAATACTAGATAAAGACTATCACTAATTGCCTACATCTTAAAAAGAAATTTTTTTTTCTTAATAGACTTCTAAGAATTAAATAAAAATAGAATAGAAAATTGAATAGGACTATAGAAAAAGCAACAAACGAAAAGTTTTAACTATGTATTAACAATTACTTTGCATTATCCTATGTGGTACGGTACATCCTGAACACAAAATGGAGAAAAGAAAAATTTATTTTTAGAATTTTGTGTTTTTCTTTTAAGAATAATATTACTTCATTGTTTATTTTTTTACATTTTTCTATATGTGCATACATTGAAATAGAAAAGACGAACTTTACAAAATAGTGTGTACAAAAAAAACAATGTAAACTAACAAAAAGATGATAGAGATAAAGGTTTGTGGTGTAATTATGGTGGGAATAATTTTTTATTATTGAAACATTTTGAGTTAAACACTATTTAACAATATTCTCTAGAGCCTCGAGAATTATTTGAAATGGTCTAAATTTGAAAATGTATTGTAAATTTGGAATTTCTACATTTCATTTTAATTACTCGTAATAGCCACAAGACTTAAATTTTCTATTCCCAGAGATATTCAAAATTATTTTAATATTTAGATTCGAATGCTGGAAATTAAACATTCCTCATCCCCCATCAAATAACTGACGAAATTTTTAAAATGATCTCAGCAAATATTTCTGTAGTATATTTAATAGAATTAAATTTTTCATGGATAAAACGAGATCAAGGACATTATATAAATTGTTTTTATAAAGTAGTTGTAATTTCCAGAAAATCTGTTTTCTAAATTGAACTTCTAAAACGTGGTAAGAGTCAAATTTTTTATCTAAATTGAATGACAATTTACAAGTTAAATACAAAAAGTATACAAGTATACAAAGGACTCGTAAAATATACGCTTCAAAAATCAAAGAAAAACTTTTCAACTATTTACAGCCGCATCATTTTACATACAAATCATTTACAGACGCTCTTACACACATACACACACATAGAAATTAATGGTAAAGACATTATTTAAATTTCTTACCATTTTCTTTAATAAAATCTACTCTTCTATTAGTCAAATTAAGTTGAAAAAATTCCAAAAATTTTTCAAATCCCAATTGAATTGTTGTTGTATTGATAGAATTTTTATCACTATTAAATAAAATTACACCAATTCTATCATTATTATTATTTTTTGTTTTTGTTATATTTTCTTTTATACTACGATATTGATGCCGATGTTGAATTTTAATGTTATCACTTATAATATTACTATTATTTTTTTTACTATTATGATAACTACTATTATTTCTTATAGTACTAGAATTTTTATATTGAATTTGATAATGTGATTGTTGCTGTTGCTCTTGCTGTTGCTGTCGCTGTTGATAATAATGATTTTGATTTTCTTTATCTTTTTCCAATAGTAATTGCTCTTTTTCAAAATTTTTCAGTTTTCTCTTAAATTCTTTTGTTTGTATCAATTGTAATTTTTCTTTAAGAATATCCTTTTGAATTGTCCTTGAACCATCATATATTATTGTTGATGGTAATTGTGTTGTTGTCACTTTTATTATTTTTGGTGTTATCGTATATGAGGATTCTGTTAATGTTAATGATAAATTTGATATTGATGTTTTGATTAATTTTGATATTGATGAATTGAAAATTGATTCTTTTTGAAATTCCTCAGATTGATTATTATTATTATTATTAGCATCTAATACAATATTATTATGAAGAGGAGATGATGTTGATATCATTGGTTTTTTTAATATTATTTTTTTATTATTTTCTTTTATTATATCCTTTGTCGAATTTGTAATGTTATTATTATTTGTTATTGGTGTTATCAAAATTGTATTTTTCAATAATGTATTTGTTGTTGTGGGTGCTGTTGTTGTTGTAGTTGTTGCAGTTTCAGTTTCAATTTCAAATTTTGTCGCCTTATTTCTTATTGTCGTTGTTAACAGCAATTCACTTTGAATTGTTGATGATATAAAATAGTTAAAGAATAGAAACGCTGTCAGCAGCAGAAAAGTTTGAAAAGGATATCGACAGGTTGATAGTAGAAGCTTCATTTATAAATTTTTTTGTCCAAATTTTTAATTTTTCTTTTTTGTTTCTTTTCTTCTCTTTTGTTTGCCTTTTGTTTTTAACCGCAATTGTTTATTATTTTCGTTGAATAAAATTGAATTTGTACACTTTTTGATTTTATTTTTGACCTTAGAGAGAATGTATGTTACAATTTTCTTCTTTTTTGGTAAATGAGAGTTGACTGGAATAGAAGAAAAAATTAAATATTTTCGATTAATTGTCATACATAAATTAAAGGCAATAAAGTTTTAATTCAAAAATGAGTTTTATGAAAAATATTGTATTCAAGAGCATCAACCCCAACACAAAGCCTAAACTACGTATTTCAAATTGACTCAAAACTTCAATTATTACAATTCTATCTTAATTTTTCAGAAAATGACCTACATGACAAAAATTTATAAGACCATATTAACATTAACATTCGTTTACTCTAATATTCTCAACAACAGGTAAAATAGTGAGATATATCAAAGAGGAGGATATATCACAAAAAAATTGATAGCCTTAAGACCTTTTCAAAATAGCATTGCATTTCTGTCGCATTTATTACATTGAAACAGAAACGAAAAAAAAAATCAATATTTCAACTTACCTCATATTTTATAACTGCTTTAAATCGATTATTCAAGTGATTTTTCCTATGTATATACACGCATACATACATACACTAATATAATGTTGTCGTGATATATTTTGTGTTCTATATTAAGATCCCATCATTTTAGATAAACCAGACAAGATAAACGTATCAGAATGTATTAGAGAAAATGAAGATTTATTCTTCATTTCACAAAAATAAAACAATTTTATACGGAAAAAAAAAAGAATCAAAAACACAAAAAAAAATTATTGAAATTCCATTCCGATTTTATTTTTTTTTTTTTCTGTTCGAATTAAAAAAAAAAGGATATATTTTATTTTCATTTATTCTTTTAACTTTCAATTTTAGTCCTTTTTCTTTTCGATTTTTTTCTTCTATCCTTAATAGCTAAACATTCGTAAATAAATTCCAAAATTTATTTCTATTTAAACCGAAAAAAAAAGCAACATAAAAATTTAAAATCCATAAGAGGACCTGAAGCTCGGCGGAGTATGGGCAAATACGATATTATCCTTTAAGTTGAAAATTTAAATACGAAAACAAAAAAAATTTTTTTATCTTCTTGTACAAATTTCCATAAATGTATGTGAGTGTGCAGTTATAAAATAAATATGTAAATAAATTCTTTTCTTTGTTTTCATTCGCTCTTATTGTTTATTAATAAAAATCTAGTTAAATTTTGTTTTTTTTTTTTTGTTTGCTCCTTTTGAATCCTTATATTTTAATACAATAGAAACGACAATAATTCTTATTGTATATTGAGAAACGGTGTTCGATACAAAAAAGAAAATCTATTTATTGTGGTTGTTGTCGCCGTCGTTGCCGCCGTTGTCGTTATGATCGTCGTCGTCGTAGTCGTCATCGTCATTGTTTTGTTCATTTATTTATCGATTTTTGTTTTTTTTCCTCTTTTGTTTTTGCATTCTGTTTACATATTATGATTTTTTTTCTTTGTATTTTTTCGATATTCGATTTTTATTTTCGATTTATATCTTATTATTTTATTTACGTACATGTGTTTGCATATTGTGTAGTAATAGAATTTTTTTATCTACAAAATAAAGTTTATCTACACATATAAATTTATTAATAGAAAGCAACAAACAACAATATATAATCAATATATTATAAGTAAAATTGCTTTAGAAGATTTATAACAGATTTATATAACGGAAATCGTTTTTCTAATTTTTTTCTGTTCTTCCTTTTCTTTTCTTTATTATTATTCTGTTATTTTCTATTTTGTATTGATCTTTTTTCTTTTTCTCTTTTATTCTTTTGCTGTTATTATTTTTTTTTCTTGTACAATTTTTATTTACTTTGTAGTAAATAGAGAGAAAAGATGATAATATAATAATGAAGATGGCGCTACGGTGTTACCATATAATGTGTACTCTTTTGAGAGGAATTTATTACGAAAAATTTATTACGTTGAACTCGACCTTGATTTAAATAGGTAGATAAATTTAATAACGGTATTAGAATGTTCTCTTTTTAATATTGATATTATTTTTATTTTTGTTGTTATTGTTATTATTATTGTTTTTCCTATTGATGTTAAATTTGTTATTATATTTTTTTCGAATAAATTTTTTTTTCAATAAATGGGATGACATTTTGACACTTGTTTTGAATTTTTTTTGTTATTTTTTTTTTATTGCTTTTTTATATCTTACATGTTTATTTTGTAATTTTTTTATTTCCTAAGCATATATACACACATTGTACATTTATAATAATATATGCATGTACTTATAACTTTTGATAGGCAAATAATCTATTTACCAAGAAAATTTACTGTCACATAATTAAGTATATACTCGTATATATATATGCATATATATATATAATTTTAAATTTATTTTTTAGTAAATTAAATAAACAAATTTTTTGTTGGAATTTTCATCAAGCTTTTTTATTAATTTTTATTTTAAACGTATATTGTGTAACATGTAAACACTCTAACTTAAACAATTTGTTATGGCAATGACAAACTTGAATTTAAACAATTATAATTATGAGCTTCTTATATATTCGATTCACTTTTATAAATAAAATTTGTTAAATTCCAAGCGTATTTAGAGAATAATTTCCACAAATTCAATAATTCATTTGTTATAATCTTAATTCACATTTATTTATTTATTTTTACTTGATTTTAATTTTTATTGACATATGCACATCTAAATGTCAAAATTATTTTCTTTTCTCACTTTATGTTAATATATTAGTGATACATTATTCTTATATGCATACATATATACATGTATATTATAATTTAATTCATGCCATTTTTAGAATACCCAAAATTTTTTTTATTAATTATTATATAAAATGCCATACCTTTTTTGTTATTCAACATTGACAGAATTTCCCCGCAAATATTTTAGAATGTTATTTTAATGTTACACGTAATTTAAGAATTTCTTTTTTATTTTTTTTATTATTATTGTTCATTTTATGTGCTCGTAATGTAATAAGGTTGACATTTCAATAGAATTTCGGTTATAGAATGTATTATTATTCAATTTATGATGAATTTATTTTAGGACGTGACAAATCTAAAATTTTATTATTAAAATAATTAAATTTATTTTATTATTTTTTCTTTTATACACAATATTATTTTAATTTTTTGTTATGTAACTTTGGCAACTATGCATATGACAAACGATTTTAGAAGTTTAATAATTTAATCCACAGCTTTGGAAAAGTAATAATTTTGTATGCGATTTTTTCTTCTTCTTTTGAGTTCTATCTGATGTAAAAGCTAATTATTTTGAAATGTTCTGAAAATATAAAAATTAAAAACAAAATTTAAATTTTTGGAAATATAAAATAAAAAATAGTATATTTGCGTTCCATTTAAGGTAGAAATATATGTATATAAAAAAAAAAATTTTGAAAGAAGTTGTTACGTATTTTTTCCGCCAGATGGCTTTAATTTTTATATTGTAAAATTAATTAATAATAATTAATAAATTTAATTTTATATTGTAAATTTAAATTTTACAATATAAAATTAAATTTTATATTGTAAAATTTAAATTTATTATAGTAATTTTACTCCTATGTGTTATGGGGCCGATAGTGGAAGGTTGTACATCCATAAAAGGAACGAAATTACTTAAATATTCAAAAATCCAAAATATTTTATAAAAAGTAATAAAATTTTTAATGAAAATGTTGATAATTACAAATATTTATGATAATTTTATTAAAAGATGCAGAATTTTTATATTGTAAAAATGAAAACTATTTTAATTATATAATTTCATACTATAGATTTGCAAACAATGCCAAAAATATTTCGTATATAGCATTTAATTAACATTAAAATATTAAATTTCTCTTTATATTTCAAAGAATACATTTTATGTACAATACACATATTAGATTTAATTTCAAATCCTATGATTATCCAAATTCCAATGAAAATTTGTCATATTTTATAAATTAAAAATTAATTAGAAACTTAATATTAGAACAATAAATTATAGCACATTACATACTTTTACATATTATGTCGCATATTGTACACATAATTCATTTGACAGAAATTAAATTTAAGTTACAAAATTACTTGTATACAATTAATCATAAAAATGTCAAAATTTATAATTAAATATTATGCATAATTATTTGCAAAAAAAAATATATTCAAAAATTACTTTACAAATAGAATAAAGTAATAGGATTTTCAATATTTGTTAGAATGAAAAAATTTTTTAATTGTTTAGAAAATTATTGTTTTGGTTAAGTATTTGCAATAATTTAATATTTTGTTAATTCAAATTAATTAGGTACGATAATGTATCCGATCTGTAAACCATAGTTATATAAAACAGCCACATTAGAATATCATCAGAATCCCGGACAAGTTTCTCCAATGTTAAGCCTCTCAAGGATGGATGAAAAAGTGATGTAATTATATTCAGTAGGTTCTGATATCGTCGTTCAGCAGCCTGTCGTCCTAACATATATACCAATTATACAATATCCTCTTTTGATCGAAATTAATGAGCCGATATTTTGTCGTTGGAAGGATGTGAAAACCAGTTATTGAAGGATGTTATTTTGCGACAAATATCATTTTGCATCTAACCAAATATTACATTCCTCCAGTCCCTTGCCTGCCATCTGCGATTTTTTTACTCTATTGTTAATGGCTTTTAAATACTAAAAGTTAATTACAGTTAATATTTTACAATTATTTCATTCATTTCTAAAGTGTTAAAGTTCTAAATCACATACAATACATCTCAAAAATCAAATAATTGAACTTAAGAGCTTATTCTGAGAAAAAATTCTTATCTTTAATTTTTTATTTCCATTTTCATTTAACAATGCCTCCCTGTTAGTGTCCCTATAAATTTGAAACAATTCAAAGTTTTTAAATTGTTTGAAAATGTTAAAAATAAAGTCTTCACTTGAATTGTGTTTTTTTTTTGTTTTCGTTTGTTTCTTTCAGGAACTTGTTTCTATATAATATTAGTATAGGCACATATTTGTGTACAAATATAAGAATAAACATTTTATATATATACTTACACGTGTAAGTATTCAAAAAAAAAAAACATTATAAAAAAAACAAAGAAAATAAAGTCAAAAATCTTTTAAAAACAAATAAGCCGCTTACATTTAAATAATGAGAAATTTGATTACCTAAAGGCTTTTTTAAGGAAAAAAAAAATTATTTTTTTTTCTTGTATTTCATGAAAAGAAAATTAGGAGAAATTTTTTAGGAATATTTTTTTTTTCCTAAAAATTCTTTAGAACTTCTTAGAACAAGGCTTTTATACAAGTCTTTAATAAAATTTTATTTGTGTTGTTTTTTTTTTTGTACAAATTTAATTCAAAAGGATTAATATTAAAATAAATTTCTGCTTATATATAAACAATATACACATATACATGCACCTAAATATACATACACATACAAATTGCAAGAGTTATACAAATATATGAATATATACAAAATTTTTCAGTAGTCCCGCAGGACTTTCTAAATTTATATAAAAGTTTTCTCAAGAATTTTTATCTATGAATTTAATAATCGAATTTTAAATATACACCCATATTATGTATGTATGTGTATTATATGTTTGTAATAAATTATTATGCGTTTTCCTTTAATTTAATTATTAATTAATTATTTTAATTACTATAATCACTTATTAATCAAGAAATTTACCAATTAGTAATTTACTTACTTAAAGTTTTCAAACTTATCCTAAAAGTATGCAATTTTTTTTTTTAAAGGTATTTAATATCACTCTTTTACGCAATGACTGTAATGTAATTCATTAAAAAAAAGTTTTATACATTCTGTTTTGTAATTTTTAGTTTGAAAAGAGCATCAAAGACAATTATTTTTAGTCCATATTTTATATGAACTAGGCTCGTACCAGGGGAATAACAACATATTTAGCCATATTTTTATACACGCTTCTAAATGCAAAAGAATGTGGGAGAATAATTTTTTTTTTTTCAATTTATTTATCCAATTCAATTAAAACATGTGAGTCCAACAGAAAAATTTAGACGTATGCATATTATATTTTATTATTTAAACATCTGGCAGTAAAATCAAAAAAGTTTTATGATATCTATTTACATTAATACACTACATAGTCTAATGCTAATACATTTGTTCTATTATTATTGCACGCTACACCTACACCTTTCACAGTTGATGTGAGGACTATACATCAACTTTCTTAAGAAGTTTGTAACCACTTGAAGGAGTCGTCTGCGGTATGAATACGAGTATATATATGTATATAAAAATATATTCTTAACCGGTATAAAATTTTGCAATGATTTCAACATGTTGTCAATCCATTCTCCTGATAACTAAAAAATTAAAAAAGGCTGACATCATAAAAGAACGGCTGATATTGTTATTTAACCCATTCAAACAACGGTTTCGAGAAATTTGACAATCATGTGTCAATTCATAGTTTAAATATATTCCATAAGTTTTTGAGAAATAGTTTGAGAGACTCGGCTACCCACCATACAGCCTTAAAAGTAAGTGTGTTTTAATTTTACACAAGTGGTTGGGAAACAAATAAGACTAACAGCATGAAATTTGACAGTCTTATGCATCCACCGTCAGTCCCGTATCAAAAGTAGTTGATTCCAAATTTAAACAACATCATATTGATTAGCTTGTAGCGCAACATACCGATTGAGTTCTAAATCGTGAGATAGCCCAGTAATTCTTTGCTCTTTCTGCAAATTTCGGAAAGTAACACTTATATATAATTAATTGAGTAATCAATCTTGCACTGTTTTTAAATTTACATATCTCTATATTTCAATACACTTTTCTTGACGCATACATTAAAACAAATAACAAAAACTTATTTGTAAGTTTTAGTTCTACTACTTTTATTGTAATCCGCAATTTGATTCTAAGCTATTCAACACTTGCTTTTGAACTCGAAATTTTCCAATTTCTTAAACAAAATTATTTATGTAAGAAAAAAAATGTCACCTAGAACATCCTGTTTTCTTAATCTTTGTCATATTGTTTTTTATTTTTTTGAAATCTTTACTTCGTGTATGTTATCTAACTACAAAAGAATACACACATTGTTTGTACCTAAGGAATACCCAAATGAAAGAAAAACTTAAACAAAATAAGAAAACTTAAGGCAAAACAAGAATTTATTTTTTATTTTTTTTTTAACAGAAATAATGCAAATTGCTATCTTAGTATGTTTTTGC